CATTTCAGTTCCTGTTGAGTTGCTCCCTACTGGTAAGTGTCAGGCTCAGCGCGACAAGCTCATGACTCAGAGGCAGGAAGATCTTGAAGCCAGCGACTCAGACGGGAAGTGCTGCCCACTGGCATTTAGCATTTTATAGCCTGGTGATGTCAGTCGCAGCGAATCGACCTCTTGATGACCCACGAGCAAGACATGGAGGCCAAGTCAGACGATCGACAAGCCAAACTCCAATCTAAGTATCTAAGTCAAATCTTTGGCGCCGAAAGGAGTTGGACAAGGAGCGTCGCAAGAAGATGGAAGCCGGGCAACTCTCTAAATGTCTAGTCTTGGCGCCGGGATGGCGCCGCTATAGTTGAAGCTGTCAGGACAAGCTGGAGCAGCTTGGCAGGCCAGGCAACTCAGACCTTCTCTATTCAACTTTGGTGGCGCCGGGATGGCGCCGCTTTTACAAAACCTGGCTAACTGTGTGGAAATTCACGACGTTAGTCGCAGCGAGAGAAGCATTCTGAATGAGGTGGAGGCGTGCACACTTTCACTACCCCTGTACTCATCAGCGCCGAGATGGCGCTGATTTCCTCCACTGTATTATATCGGCGCCCTGATGGCACTGATGTCACTAGCTCCATTTATATCAGCGCTGAAATGGCACTGATTTCACCCTGCCAGGAGCTTCAGGGCAAGATGCCGCGAAACCATCAAAGAAGGCCAAGGGCCCACCAAAGAAGAAAAAGAGGAAGGGAGCGACAGCGACTAGGTCAGCGTGTCACACACTTGTCCGCGCAGGCTGCCGTAGGATCTAGGCGGGCGGCTTTGGTCCAGCAGTTCAGCGATCTTCCCAATCTCAACAAGATCCTTCAATCAAAAACGTTTCAGTGGATAGATCAATATCATGCCTATATCTATTTCCATCCGCCCACAGATCCTACGGCAGTGTGGCACTGTCGTTGCGCGAAGGCGGAAAATCTGAGCCTTGCGACGCTAAACTCAATATTCGGGCGCCGTGGGCCGTGATGGCACGACGATTTAAGAATTGAGGCGCCGTGATGGCACCTCGTTTATGGTTTCTTTCGATGTACCCTTGCCCTCAATTTTGCCAAGGAGCCTGATGGAGACAATGCTGATGGAAGTGACGAGCCATGTCCTCAGTCAGATTTCCGCCCATGTCAGAACATCTCTTCGCAAGTTCAGCCAAAGCTTCCAATTGAGCTGCCGTGGACGGTGCCATCCCGGCGCCGACTCAATGACTGAGGTTGAGGCCAAGCCTGAAACGCTGGAACCTTGCCCATCCATCAGAACCCCCTGCTTAGCCTTCTGTATGTCAGTGTCCTCTCAATATAACGCACATGAAGCTTCAAAGATGAGGCTCGCACTTTCCACAAGACGGAGACCAAACTCGCCATTCCATGCTTCGGGGGCCTCAAGCGGTGTTGGACCAAAACTTGGAATGGGAAAGGATGGGTGTGACAGTGTGATGCTTGAGGATGTATAGATGGATGCAATGAGTCATGGATGCAGTCAGTGAGGTTCAACGTGTTCAGACTGGATGGGTGTGAAAGTGTGATGCTTGAGGATGGATAGATGGGCGCAATGAGTTATGGATGCAGTCAGTGAGGTTCAACAGGTTCAGACTTATGCATTGCAATGAACGTGGAGAGCAAAAGCCATCTCGGCATTTGGCTCAGTGAAACTATCGCAGCGTCGCTGGGCTACTGGTGCCATCTCGGTGCCAGCGCTCTTGCTTTATGCTTGATTGGTCACATGTATTTTTGTGATTTCTGGATGGATGCATGGATGGTGATGAGGATGATCAGACAAGCTTGTAAAACAAACCAACAGCCTGATTGAGCAGATGCCATCTCGGCATCTGGCTCAGTGAGCAAACCAGAAAAACGTTCACTGTTTTTGCGCTTAGAAACGTAAATCCAGTGAGTTTCAAATGCATGACTGAAACGCCAGTTAGAAATTCCAAAAAACATATTCATACATCTCATCAACATCCATCTTCCATCATTTCAAAAAATCTTCATACATTTCTCAAAAGCCACCAACATCCATCTTCCTTCACTCATTTGAAAGCAACTTCAATTTTTCCATAATTGTGCTGTGGCCCCAGCGCCCGTACTAAGAAAAACCAAGTACGTAGCAGTGCTGGTACCAAAAGGTGTATGGGTGCGAGTTGCTAGCTGCAACGCTATGCTCATAAGCCATTTCCAAGTGCAGCTGCTAATTCACGCGCTGCCAGTGAAAGCAGGGGGGTGTTGAAATATATACATCACCTGATGCTAGGGTTTTACGTGTGGTCCCGATTTGCAGCGTTGCAGCTCAAAGGAGAAAAGGTGCTCTTGTAGTTTGCGTAGCTGAGCGGTAATTTGACTATATATAGTTTTCAGTGGCTGAGGCGGAAAATGCAATTTTTAGAGCGCGTCATGTCTCAGGTTGCAGCAGCAAAGCAGTCGGCTGCGGCATTGGCTGAGGTTTGCGTGTTTTGACTCTGGGGGTCTGGGGGGTTGTGGACTCACGGGGTGTGCAACTTCTTGACTCGATACGCTTTGTGTTTTTTTCCGGAAGGGTGTGACTAGTTACGTTCCGAGCTTTAGCGCGCATTATGATGTGATGGTTTAGACGTATGAAGACCCTCCTCTTATCTCTTATGCGAGAGCCATTTCGATCACACATGTCTTATGGTTGCTTGCAGCCATGCAACGGCATAGTTTCACTCGTTTCCTCCGCAGGTCCGCAGGTCTTCATTTTTGCAAAAGCTGGATTGTCTCAAATCCAGACGCGCGTTCAAAAGACATACTGTAAGACCAGTGAGAGGCTATACTTCTGGGCGCTGCCTGAAACAGTTGAAGTGACGCTGTCAGGTGGAGCATGCCGTTGGCGCTCGCAGCGTGCCAAGTACGACAACATTGCGGGTGCAGAGCGCAGGCCTTCATAAAGCTCGACTGGAATTGTTGGTTGACGTTTGGGTTATTGGGGTCGATTCCGTTGGTGCGGTGCTGCCTCATCATGTTGATGCAGCACTGATAGGTCACCACATCAACGTGAAATGTTGTGTGCGCACAGGTGTTCAATGGCACATGCGAGCCCCGTGCGTGTCACCGGGTCCGCCTTCGGACGCCAGGGTTTCCTCTGGCCACCGGGTGGTTGACTCAGAATGAATTTTTCATTGTAACAGTCTTTCATTGGAGAGAGCCTGTTTTCAAATTTAAAAAAGTCAAGAAACCAAAAACAGTCAGTCCCAAAAGTCAGATCAGAAAGTTTCAGAGAATATAAAAAATCAATTGCTCAGATCCGACTTTTTCCTTTTTCTGATTCTTTTGGTACATTTTATTCCCGAGAGCGTCTGCGAAGGGTTTCTCGTAAAAAAGCATCTGTAGAACTACGTCTCATCTACATCTTCACATCTTCACATCTGAACATCTACATTTGCGCATCTACATCTCTGCTCATCTTCATATCTGCATCTACATCTCTGCTCATCTTCACATCTGCGCATCTTCACATCTTTACATCTACATCGTCACATCTTCACATCTGCGCATCTACATCTTCACGACATCTTCACATCGGCGCATCTCACATCTGCGTATCCTGTCGCTCTTCTTTTCTTCCTCTCTGAAGGCCGGGGGCGGCGCCGCCGGAGCACCACGAAACGCAACCCTCTGCGGAGATCGCGCGTGTCGAGGGCGCGAAATGCAGGTGAGATTACTTTTTTGCCCGGTCTGGCGCGACCCTCTGCGGAGATCGTGCGCGTCGAGGGCGCGAAACGCAGGTGAGATTGCGTTTTGGCCCGGTCCGGCGCAACCCTCTGCGGAAATCGCGCGTGTTGAGGGCGCGAAACGCAGGTGAGATTGCGTTTTGGATTTGTTCCGGGTAACCCTCTGCGGAGATCGTGCGTGTCGAGGGCGCAAAATGCAGGTGAGATTGCGTTTTGGATTTTTCGCGGGCAACCCTCTGTGGAGATCGTGCGTGTCGAGGGCGTGAAATGCAGGTGAGATTGCGCTTCACTTTTGGAGGAAGTCTCGTACGAAACGCTCGTTTTGGAGACTTGGCGCTTCACTTTTGGAGGAAGTCTCGTTCGAAACGCTCGTTTTGGAGACTTGGCGCTTCACTTGTGGAGCTGGTGGCCAGTTTGTTGTGCAAATGTAGTGCGGGAAAGAGCTTTTCGGAGCTGGACTCAGAAGTGGCCAGTTTGTAGTGCAAATGTAGTGCGGGAAAGAGCTTTTCGGAGCTGGACTCAGAAGCGGTCAGTTTGTAGTACAAACGTAGTACGGGCAACAGCGTTGCAGAGCTGGACTCAGGAGTGTTTGCTTCTAGTGCTTAGATGGGCTGGGGTGTTGTTAACTAGTTAGCAAAGTTCAGGTTGTTTTTAACTTTGTATTAACAGCTTGTTAACATATTACTAACATGATCATAACCCATTGTAATGTGTTAGCAAAATTAAAGAAGTTATTAAGTCTTAGCAAAAGTTAGCTAATTGTGTTAGTTTTCTTAAACTGTTATGAAAGTTATTAACAGTTAGCTAATTTTTGGCTTTACTTACACTATTGAAAAAGCTTGAACTGCTATTGACTTTTTCTTTCATAGGCAAAGTTTTTTCTTAGTTGTGTGCAAGTTAAACAAGCTTTGCAGCATTGCATGGCAGGTTACCAGCCTGGCCAAAAAACAATGCAAGCCAAGGTTTTGCAAATCCCTTTGTGCATTTTTTCAATACAAGAATTGCTTGCTGGTGTCAAACCAAAGCATTTGCAACAAACAACTAAGAAGCTGCAACCATTGTTTAGGGTTTACATTGTTCTTGAATGTTGACAACCAAACACTTGTTTCTATACTAGGCGGTCCAGTCCAACCACCCAAGCAGCACATTGGAGAAGGTGCTTTTGCATTTGTTTGTTTCTAGCCTTGAGGGCTTTCATTTCTTCCATTGTTTGTGTTTTCATTTTGCACAATTCTAGGATTTGTTTGGCCCAAAGCACATCATCATTGTCCAGACAAGGATGGCTGAAGAAACACATTCACCCTGTGACAAGTCTGATGCTTCTGGCAGCCCTTGCAATGCAGAAGATGATTTCAAAGGAGTGATCCTCACCTACAAAGTGGAGTTGAGCTTTAATGGCTCTAAGCGTGTCACCATCCCAGACACCTACATTGTGGAGGACATTTGGTCATTACTGTGCTCAAAGGGGTGTTGGTTGTTTTGAAGTTTATTTTTGTCATTCTACACACCTGCAATAAGACATACTTCAAAAGCAGCAAATATGCAGGACCTGAGTGGGCAACCCTTTTTGAAGATTCAGGGCAGTGCACCATGGCTTTCAAGATTGGTCTGCAACTGCTCTAGTAGAAAGAGTGCACTTGCCAATGGAAACAAGATCTCTGAGCTGAAGAAGATGAGGAATGGCAAGCTGCTTGCTGCAAAGGGTGATGGCAGCAACATCACTGACAGAAAGGCAAAGGCAGAGCAGCTGGTTGAGATCGAGGTTGGCAACACATTGGTCAGCATTCTCTGCCATGGGAAGAGGTCATTATCTGGAGACCTTCTGGTCATGCTCAAGGAAGATCAGTTGTCTGCAATCTTTGACTTCTTGCAGCCTGATTGCCATTCTGATGGTGGTGGCAAAAGGTCCTACCAAAAGAGTGGTAGATTTGTGAAGAAGGTTGACAAAAATGGTTGATGCAAAAGCATCCTGCAAGCTGAGCTGCTGGTGCCAAAAAATCTGAGTTTTGGCCCAGAGATGTTTTGTGCATTTTGTACTCAAAGGCATGTGTGTCAATCTTCTTTTGCTTGGCTGCAAGCAGCCTTTAAGGGCTTTCATTTTCATTCTTGAATGCAGAGCTTGCCTGTCAGGGCTTTCATTTTAACTTTGCACATTGTTTTCAAGATACAATAGTATTTGGCATGGCAAAGCAGCTTTCCAAAAACATATAGCTATGTCATCATCTTGCTGCAGGCAGGATATGAAGGGTTTGTGTGCAACAAGATTGCAGTAATGAGCATAGTCAGGGGCCACCAAAAAAGCTGGCTAGACTGCATCCCATGTTTGCATGCATTGGAACAACAAGGTGTCAACTTGTTACCTTTGTAGGAGCTCCACATTTTGAGCTGCTTTGCAGCCATGGCATTATCTGATGAAGTGAAGCATGGAATTGATGAGCTTTTGAGCACTGCCTGCCCTCTTGGTATAAATGTTCGATTGCAGAGGGTTTTGGGAGCATTGGAGGCAGTGGGCCTGGTGCACTGTACTACTGCATGTCCAGCCTCTTTCATGTGCCACCCCCACAACAGGGGTTCATCAATGGTCAACCCTTTCAACTGCCATAGAAAAGGCACTGACATTGTTGCTGCTGGTGTGGAAGCTGATTTGTTGCCACCCAACTCCTTGGCAATTGAGCTGGCCTTGGACAACAGTGCTAGAGAAGGCCAAATTGCTGCAAACATCAAGATGATCAAGGATTCCAAAGGGCTTTTAGCTCCACTTTCTGGTCATGAGCGCTACCTGACTATAGCCAACAGCCACTTTGTGCAGTGGGCCAGAGCTGTTGATGCTGGCTGCAAAGGACCAGATGGGAGCCAACCCACAGTCAGTGCAGATTTGAAGGATCTTTTGGTGAAAGGATGGTCTTGGAAGATCATCTCAAATGAAGCTGAGAGGCTATGGCCCACTTTGCCTGCATTTGCAGCAATGGCTATGAATAGCCACAATAGCACACAAATTGCAAGCAATGAGCTTGAGTGCATGATGCAGCTAGCAGAGCTGTATAGAGGAGGAATGAAAATGGATGAGGCAGTCCTGGCTGTGAGGCACAGTGCACCTGCCTGCAAGCACTATTTGGAAGATGTTGCATACTTCTGCAAGATGTACAGTGGTGGAGACTCCTTTCCATTGCTGAAGTGTTTGGACACCTATTGTGCCTTGTATGTTCATAACAATGTTCAACCTATTTTGTGTGTTTGTGAGTGAGTTTTGCTACAGCATTGCTAACCAGTGTGTTTCTGATTCTCTCTATGTGTAAATCTACTACCACTTGTGTGGCCCAGTCACACACCATCCTAGGCAAAAACCATGGCCACTCCTTGATGCTGGGTGAGGAAATGATGAATCACTTGGCCATGTATGACTTCAGGCTACCAGGACAATCCATGGCTCTGACAAGGATTGGCCTTGCAGCTGTGATGCTCATTTCCAGAAAGCATGCTGATGGCTTCTCAAGGCTCCTTTTCAAGAGTGACTTTGACAAGCTCAAAGGCAAGGACACCACCAGAAAATTAGATGAAATGTTTTTTACTCTTTGGAAGCAAGCATTGGGGGCAGGGGTGGCACCTGATGTGGGCTACATTTGCTGGGGGAATGCAGCTGTCAGGATGGTCTTGCATATCTTGAACAAAGAAAAGGTTGCCAAACAAGAGGTTTACAAGTCCTTTGGGGAGATTGTTGAGCTGTTCTCACAGGAGCTGAATGGCAGTGTGAGGGTGACCACACACAGTGAACCTGCAGGGGGGTCAGCTTCTGCAGGCTCAGCTGTCAAAGACCTCCTCAATTGCTCCAGCCAAGAGGTTGCCTTGTTTCAAAATGCTCACATTCGCATTGGAGACAAGTACTTTGCTTGCATCAAAACTTGTTGGTGTTTCCCAGCTTGCTTTCTGCTGGCTTTCCCTTGTTGTCAACCAGCATCCTTATTTGTTTGTGTTGTCAAGATTGAGGTATTTTGGTTTCACCTTTGCTGTTGCTCAACACACTTGCTCTATTCAGATTGTTGCAGGTACACACACCATGACTACCCAGACCAAATCTTTATCCTGAAAGCTGTGGATGACAAGAAGGCAACCTTTCAGCATGTGCCCTTATTTGCTGATGCTTTGGTGGTTACTGAAGAGCTGACATCATTGAAGAAGCGGAGGGCAACAAAGAAAGAGCCCACTGCACTTTGCCCAGCAAAGCTCACCACAGACAGGCTACCACACAACCTTGAGATGGTGCAGAAGGAGGTTGACAAGGTTCAGGCCACTGCACTGCTCATGGAGGCCTATATGAACAACAAAGTTGGTGATGGTGTGCTGGCTTTTGTTAGCAATCCTTCCAATTTGGCTGTGCTCAAGAAGGTCAAGAAGAAGGAGATCAAACTTTTCCCCATGGGCACCTGCTCACTTGTGCCAGTCAAAGACCAAACAAAGATCTTGGAGAAGGCAAAGCATTGTGTGGCATGGTACAAGACAAAGCCTTACCAGATACAACCATTCAAGAGCTTCAACAATTTTGCAAAGCCAGAAGAGACAGGAACCTTGTGTCCCTACTATTGGGTCAGGAGTTCTGGTGATGATGAGGAGATCAGTTTGAAAATGGCATGGGTGGAGTACAGGGGATTGCACATCCCTATTTTGGAGAATGAAGAGCCCATCGAACCAAAAACATTGCTGCTCAAGAGTTCTGACCCAGATGAGGTCTTTGGCAAAGGCCCTTCTGCCAAGAAGGCCAAGACTGCTTAGGCAGTGTGTGCAGTATGTACAAGAGAGAGATTGGTGAAAAGTCTCCTTTGTGCATATGTAGTTTTGCTGTTTGCTGATGTAAGGTACAAGAAGATTGTCATGCCAGTCAATTTATATGTGTGATCAAGCCTTGAGGGCTTTTGTTTGCTATTCAGCCTATGAGGCTTTCATGTGATTTATTTTTTACAATCAGTTCATGACAACTTTCTTGTGTAATACAAGCATCCTCATTTGATGTGTATGTGTGTAGCAGCTAGCAGTTTTTCAAAACAATGGTGATGAGACACAAAAACACAATCAAAAACAGTTAATCAAACACAGTTTGGTTGCAATAGAACTAACAGTCTTTGATGTGACTCAGCCAAGCGCTTCACATGTATCTACATCAGGTATGGTTTACACTTATTTGTTCTTTTCACACTTTATTTTGCTGCCATGAAGAGAGCTGGTGCTGAAGAAGCCCCATGGAGGGCTCAGAGGAAAAGAATCAAGCTACCCCAGCCTGGAGAAGCTGACCAGGTGATAGCCAATGACCTTTGGCTTGTATGTGGCATTGTTATCTATTGTATTTTTGATGTATTGCTTTAATCATTTTGGTGTACATCTAAGACTCATTGCCAACCAAGGACAACAAATGTGCAGATGATACTACCCAGAACATCTCTGATGATGTATTCAGCTTTTTGACCAGTTTTGCAAGCAAGATGGATGAGAACAACCTTTGGCCTTCAGAAGAAGAAGATGATGATGCACCCAGACCATCATCAGCAACAGCAAAGCAGTCTCCTCCTTCACCACAAATCCCAGGTGCAAAAGCTAAGGCTGCACCCCCTATGCCTTTGCACCCTCCAGACTATACAGTGCCTCTTGCACCTACTACAGCTCAGGTCTCTTCATCTAGTGGGTTTTTGTGTGCTACATCATCTTCAAGCTCTAAGTTTGCTCCTGGGCTGCCATTGGCTGCCCAACAAGACTTGAGTGGAACTACTCCAGTGAAGCTAGTTTGCAACCCCAGTGAGATGAAGAAGTTTCTATATGGCACTCCAAGCAAGGTGCCTTCTCAGGACCAAGCTTCAAAATGATAATGTATGTTTATGTTAAAGATGGATTGAAGCTGTGACACCAAGTTTTTGGTATGTCCATATGTAATGTCCAATTGTTCAGTTTTGTTTGCAGGACCCTACAGAGTGGGTACCTCCTTCTAATGGTGGAGGATGGTTCAGAAAGATGGGTGGCCTCATTGTTGCCTGGAGGCTTGGAGAGGTTCACAGGATGAGGCGCCTTTTACAAAGATGGGAATGCATTCCTTTGATGCAGGATTGGACTAACAGCTTACTTGCTCATGTGAAAGAACATGGGTGGCCAAAAAACTTAGATGGTGAGTATGGACTCACCACTAAGTATTGAGTTGACAAAGTAGTTTGCAGGAGTCAAAAAGACTTGTTGGTTGATATCTACAGTAAGCCATTTGCAGTGTCGATCATTGTTGTATATGTAAATATATCTTTCAGAAATTGGTTTTGCGCATATCAAACCTTTAATCAATTAGATAGATTTGGTGTTGTTCAGTTTGTCATGACAAATTGAAATCAAGACATTTCATATTTCAATTTGCCATGACAAATTGAAATGCAAACATTTTGGATTTCAATTTGTCATGGCAAATTGAAATCCAAAAAGTTTGCATTTCAATTTGTCATGGCAAATTTAAAAATAATCAGCTTTCTATATAAATATAATGTAAACTATGTTGTGTTTATTGTAGATCAGTAAAAATACAATATTCTAGTCTTAACATTTTGTAAAATCAGCACTTGATGCTTTCATTACATTTCATTCTTAACAGCACTTGGTGCTTTCATTTCTTTAAATAATCAGCACAAAGGTGCTTTTGTGTTCTTTATTTTCATAGGCAGTTATACTGAGGAGGTACCTCAATCAACTGAATGTTGTGTCATGGTATTTGAATTAACACCAAAGCTTTTTGTATCTCAAGCATTAGCACTGTACTGGAATTGTAAATGTGTGGAGATGGAGGAAAAGTTTGTCATGTTCTTCCAGCATTTGGAGATGAAAGTGGATATGGCACATTCACATGATGATGCTGAGTGTCTCAGTGTGTGGGTGGACAATGAATTTGTCTATGACTCAGTGTGCAAACCACATTGGGCATATATGGAGCTCCTACAGAAGGATTGCATGTGTGCAAGCACGCATTTCAGTTGAATGTTACAGAATAGTGTATGTGTTTATTTTGCTAAGTGTTTAGAACTGTTTGGTCTTTGATTGCACCCCTGAGGAGGCAGAACACTTTGTTTCGACGCTCAGCTTTTAGCTGCATAAGTTTAACTTTATGTGTTGGTGGTGCATAGTCTTTTGGCTATTCTTTTGTATGCAGATCTTTTGCAATCCAAGGATGGTGGCTGCAGATCCTGTGCTGGGTAAGCTGTTTCAATCTTACCTTGTGGTGCAAGGCATGCAGATGTTTGGTGCTTTCAAACACAGGAAAGTCATCTCACCCAGTGGCATGTTTACTCCTTGCAGCAAGCTCTGACCTGAGCACTTTCGACTCCAACAGAGACAAAAAAGGTGTGATGAAAAAACATGTAGATCATCAAGTACTTTGCTTTACATTACAATAAAAGCAATTGAATGTGCTTTGGTTTTCACATGTTGCAGCAGCCTGTGGGGCTTTCACTTTTGATGTTTCAATGTACATTCTGCTAAATATGTCGTCTTTGAAATTTCAACACCTTGGCATCAACACAGTGGTCCAATCTAGTTGATGTTGCTTGTAAGCTTTAGGCCCAAAGGGGTATTTGAGGCCATTTTAGACCTTGGATCTGTAGAGAACCATGGCTTCTTGGAGTGTTGAAGACCTTGTGAAAGAAATCACAGACATGGAGCTTATCTCCAAGATGAACAGAGGTAGTGAACTTCTACCAAAGATGAAAGATGCTTTGAAATGCAAGGTTGATGCTGCTCAAATGCTTTCACCATCAAGTTTTGTCACACTGACCAGCACCTTGCAAAAGAGCGCCTTGCCTGAGGATATCAAGAGTGAATTGGTGACATGCTTGGAGGAAAAAACTGCAGCTTCAATTCAGGGGCCAACAAGGCTGCAGACGACACCTCAAAGTATGACAATGTCTTTTAACTACCTTGCCAAGAATGAATGGCAACAAATTCTTGATGGGTGCAATACCATCGATGCTGCTTCCATTTTGATCAAAAGGATGAAGAAGTGTGGGCTGAGAAGCTTGAAGGAAGATACAAAGAAGCGCATGACAGCCTTTCTTGTCTGCCTCCAAATGAATTCCACCAAGACCCTTCCTCCAGCTGCTGAGATGTACAAACTATCCCAGTTTGTTCATGACACCTTCATTGCCTGTGGTGTTCAACCATTGCACGGTGGTATGGCCAAATATCCTCCAAGTCCTTTTGACATTGGAGAGGCACTTTGGTTACAAGTTTTGGTGCATGTGCATTTGTGACAGTGTAACTTTGTTGAATCATTGTTTTATCACATTGTTGTGACTGTGCTTTGGTGAAGGTCACACTGCCTTAAAACAGCTGTGTTTATGTTTGATAGTATTTTTATGTGTGTTTTCAAATCCTGTGCAGGCATTCTTGGAGGCTTGCTATGAGCCTGACAATTGGCCTTTGAGATCACCACCTGACATTGTGGCAAATGTGGGCACCATTGTCAAACAGGTTAAGATCAGGGTGAACTCCAAAGACCTCAAGAATGTGCCAACACCTCAGCAGGCTTCATCTTCAAGCACTATGGCAGGGGGTGTGGATCACTTCATGGGCATTGGCTGCAAGCTTATGAGTATGCTCATGGACCAGGCAAAAGCCTTAGATGCTTTGAAGAGTCAGCAAGTGAACAATGACCGAAATGGATTGCAATTGGCAAGGTCTTCTTCACATCAATCTCTTGAATCGCCTGAGTCCAATCCATCAACCATAGATTTGCTTAACAGGAAAGTGTTGCCTGTTGAATCAAAAGAACCTCTACCTCTTCCTGCACCTTCTGCTGAGCATGAGACAGAGGGTACTCCTGAGGAGATTGCTGAAGACAAGGCCAATGACCAGAAGTCCCTTGAAGATTATGAGATGGAAGCACATGATATGCTTACCAAAAGGCAAGCAAGAGCAATCGATGCAGTGATGAAGAGGCCAGCCTCAAAAGCAGCCTCACAAAAGGCAACACATGTGCCAAAGAAGAAAAAGAGCAGTTCCAAGGATGATGACATGCCTTCAAAGAAGCTGTCACCTGAGTTCAAGAAAGGAATCTATGGATGCCTGAGGTGCAGGGGCAATGTCAAAGGGTGCTCTACATGCTGGGAGCCCTCATTTCAAGGCCAAAGGTTTTCCAGCAGATCTGAATGGAGCTCATTTGCGCAGAAGAAGTCTTTGAAGGCTAAGAAAAGCAAGTGAAAACACTTGCCTTCACGCAGGGGTTCCATGGCAAATGCCAATGCTTTGTGCACTTGGCAGGGGTGCTGAAAAACCAATCTAGTTTGCATTTGGAACACATGTGCAGTGCAATTTTGTGGTTAGCTGTGCCAAGGCCATCTTGACCATGTCTGATGTATGTTTGGCATGGTTTGTTTGCAGTGCTGTCAGAGCTTTCATTTGTATGCAAGCCTTTGGGGCTACCATGGTTTCAACTTTTTTGTTTCAATTCAGGCCCAAGCCTCAACTAGCATGCAAGCCTTTGGTGCTTCCTCTTTCAACTTTTTTCACTTCAGGCCCATGCAGCCATGCAGCCCCATGCAAGGGTGCTCAAGAGTTTACAGCTCTGTTACAGGCGTGCAATCATTCTTACAAGTGTCTTGACATGCATATTTTCACAAGTATTGTGTTTACCAAACCAAGTGAACATAGATTTGCTTTCTTTGGGCAATGCCAGACTTTGCTAAACTGCAAAGTTTCAGACAAAGGGTGCCTTTCTGTAGCCAATCTGCACTGGCAGCAATTCTTACACTTGCCAA